CCCCCCCTACCCCCCGAAATCATCGGTGAATGAAACTGCGGCAGCTACAACACTGTAAGACGAGTACGCGGTTACTACAGTTGACAATGATGATGATGGTCGGCAATGTAGACCCGACCTCAGCATCTAGCCTGCTGTGCCTACGGTTGGACAGCCTGGCAGTATCTCGGCACTCGTTTTTCCTTCGGGTGACATGGCAGACTAGCATCGAACGGGTGCTGTAGCTGAACCGTTTTTGCTGAACCAGTGCCTGATGGCCACGGTGCGTGAGTACGCCCGTTTCTTTTCATAAGTGGAGCAGTGAAGCACTTTCTGTTGGTTGCGGTGATGAGACGATCCCGGAGTGTCTAGATCCATTCTAGCAGCATGAAAGGTGAAATTCAGATAAGAATTTCTCATTGTGTACGCCAACTAATCCTCCTGCGGTAAGAAGCGACATGCAGTAGTTATAGTGGCTTTTTTGCGATCAATAATTGTAACGCATCAGGGGCTCAACTAAGTAAAAAGGGGACTGCAACTTTCCAGTTAGCTGTTTTGATACACTGGAACGAATAAGTTCACCTACGTCCAGGCATTGTAAACATATATCGCGTGAGGTCCGGCTAGTACTACAGACAGATGACCGCCCCTTGACAGAGGAATAGGTTGCTTCAGAAACGCACACTGACCATGTATTCGATCAGCTACCAGATCTACAAAAACGGAGTTTCACTGTCGGACCAAATTGATTGCGTAGAGGCCGAGTCGCTCCACATCGTTCTTCACCGTATTGAGTCATACAATCAATGGCTTCAAACAATTTCCTTCCAATAAGCAAGTGCAGTTGCTTGGACCCAGATTTTCTTGCGCAATCTTATTAACCAAAGCCGTAACTCGATGCGCGAATGAAAACGCTCCCATGATGGAAAATACACGTTTATTCCGGTCAATAAAATTGGAGCTAAATAACGGTAAAAAAAGAGCGCCTCGAATGGTATCTGGATGGACCCAGTAGTTATGAAGGAGGAATTTGCCACAATGTATAAGATCAACTCCCGAGATAGACAGAACCTGAGAAGAACCGATGAATCAAAAAATAATCTTAAGTACTCAAAACACGAAGTCAGAAATAAAACGTTCCTTTCTAACTTGGTCTGTTTCATCCACGTAGACACTGACAACGGAGATAGTTTGACCTATGGTCCCAGTTCGACTACACAGTTCGGCCATACTACGCATACCACCTTTGACTTGTTGAACTCCATGGGAAAATCCAGCGCGCATTTTTTGAGCTGCCGCAGAACTCTGACTTCGTAGATTGGCTACACTTTTGGCAGATTTGGCACGAAGACCGCGGAATTCCCCCCGTAACACCTTGACACCATGACCAACATCCCGACGCAATCGGCTTCTGAAAGCTTCTAGGTGCTCACGAAAATGTGCAGGGTCAGGACTTTCAACAGCACGTGCTAAGTCGGCGAGAGCGTCCCGGTATTCTTCAGCTAACTTTTCATTTGAAACTATGAGCTTGACGTCCGCACTGCTAGGTCGTTGCTTGGAATGTAAACAAATTGAATCAACGAGCAGCTGAGTGCTGTTTAAAGAGCCATCAAGACTTTCATGGGAAGGTCGAACTTTGATCATACAGTCTCCAGAGCGAACATATACATAATCAGATGACATAGACGTAGCCTGCCGATCGGTGCCTGCGACTTCCTGTGCAACTTGGTGTGTTCCATGAGAATGAGGCATCAGTGGCTCATGAGCATCAAGAACTGGTACAGTGGATGTTCCGGGAATAACTTGAGAAAATGATTCCGATTCCGTCGCGCAAGGAGGCACTTGGGAAAGAAGTTTGATCTCGCCATCAGACGCTATCTCACCGAATGGCACGTCACCCGGCGCATACTGCTTGACCTGATCAGGTGGGAAAAGGCATTCTGCGAAATGAACGGCACGACAATTGTTACAAAACCAATAGGTGTACGGCTTCAAACAAATGTTGCAGAATCGACCAGTAGACACGTAACGCAACGATCCTTCGTTCAGATCATACGTTGTGTTGACTTCTTCGGTTTTCTCCTGTGAGGACTCTCCATCCACTTCGGGAACGGGAATTACGCCAATAAACGTCTTTCCACCGTAAGCAAACGGAGGTTGTGGACGGCGCATGCATCGAGTTTCGCTGCAGTAGCGGATAGTGCCGCCAATTATGCCAATTAACAATAGCACCAACATGGCTCCATATCCGTAGCACAGAGAAAGGTAATATACCTGCTCGGAGTACATACTCGAGAATACCTGAAGGAAGACCGGTTCCGAAACTGTCAACCCAAAAGCAGAGCGAACCACACAATACCATTGTCCAGCCAGGTGACCTCGGGCGTTTTCTACACGAATTTCGCTCAAGGCACTCATAAAAGAAATGCGAAGAACAGTAGGAGCTAATATGGGCTGCACGAAATAGGAATATGAAACGGTACTGTCGTTCGAGCTGGATGAACCTGGGGCTATAACACCAATTGGGGTGAACCAGAGTAGCTCAGTTTGAAAATTGGATTGCACTGTACAATTAAGAGTTAGACTTCCCCCTGCGAGAACAAAGAATTTGGAATGGTTTTGGGCAGTGGCACTGGTCGAAGCAGTGACAGACATTATAGGGGCACAGGGTTGGGGCCAAATCCTACAATTTGAGAGGCCGACGAATTTTCCTTTAGTTAGGAACCAAGCATTTTCACAGGTGCAATCGATTGGATTCCCACTCACATTAACGAGTCTCAAATTGTCGTGAACAGTGTTACCTGTAAATCCAACCAATGAACGGAGGAGGTTATTTGAAACGTCGATGGATGATAGGAGAGGAGTGTGAGCTGAAAAATCTACCGGAAGCTCCGTTAAATGGTTCTGACTCAAGTCAATATGCTCCAAGATGGATAACCCATAAAGGGCACCCACTGAAGGAAGCGAAGAAATGCCACAATTGCGCATGGTTAATGAGCAAATCGTAGATGTTCTACCAGTATGGAAGCTCCCGAGTTCGATGAGTAGGTGATTCACTTCGATTACTACATGCCGGAGCTGTAGAAAGTAATCAAAAAATAAATCAGTGGTTAAACGTCGAGTAATGTTTGGGTTCCTTTCGCGAATGCTCAAGATGCTTGAATTCACTGAACACTGACCATAAACACTGCTGTCTATCAGAGAGTCGTTGTCACCCAGGACTACGTAACATTCGCTTCCGCCAACATCCGATACCGTACATTCGCCTAACACATCACTTTTTGAGCAAGCATATAGGGTAAAATATAAAACTCCCACAAGCAGCGCACACTGCATCAGGGTACACACTTGCCGCCAAAAATTTCGCCGACCTTTAACCTCCCACTGAATGGGTAATTGTATTCTTTAGTTCCTTGACAGGACTGGCAAGAAGGACGAGTTGCTGGACGAAACATAATGTCTGACTGTGCTGGCAGACCCAAGTATCACCGTGTTGTGCGAAAACAGGGAAAGTATCTGTTCAGTTGATTATCTACTGATGGTTCGGGTGTGGGTCAAATAATCCTCAGTCGACATAAGCACTTCTCATGCTAATTTATTGCTTGGATTCAGGAGAATCGCCTCTGGCCATCTCGTTCATTTCATAGTGCTATTCACATAAAGTAGTTGAGTACGTATAATGACAATATGCACCCCCAGAGAATAGACGAGTTACTGTGCGGCATAGTCAAATTAGCACGGTGTAACCCAGTTGAAACTTGACTGTATCTGCTTGCACGTCTATCATACAACCTTATGTGTACCTCTTTCTCTCTCCCTCTATTGCGGGTACCACGGGTGAGCTACCACGAGCCCCGGGCAGGAAAGAGTAGCCCGCCTGCACACCCTCCCCTGATTGACCTTGACCTAACTTTGTACCCGCGACTTCCGGTTTCGGTTTCGGTTTAATTAACGTGTGTTGTTGCCACGCTCCGGTGTTCTTTCCTGTGTCACCCGACCTATGCGAATGTGTGCTGTGTGTGCCGTGTGCATTCCGTAGTACCAACTTCTATATCTGCACATTACAGAACCGACGTGTGCCGTCTCTACATCCTCCCCAAAAGTCGAGTACCGCTGACTTCCTGGCGTCCCACGTTACAACAGTCAGGAAACGTACCATCTAATATTTAGTTGAGTGCGCCTATAAGTGCAACAAGCTTCGGCGGTTACGGAGAAGTATATATGGAATTTGGTATTTTCATGGATGTGAAAAAGTGGACAGGGTCTGGTTATTGCAATCTAGAGGCAGAAGGTAAACAGGTGGCGTAAGGTATGTATGGTGGTATGTATTCCTGTTTGCCTCAGAATGCGGGCAGTGAAATCAACCGGAGAGACTGTGTGTCCATGCTTGAATATAGATTTCGCGATGCTTCATTAACGTTAGGCTCATGAGGCCTGTCTCTTCGGCTTTGCGGGCCTGATGTGTTGTTGGTACGTTCAGCTCGACTAAAAGGTATATCGGCTGGTTTCTGTCAGTCTCGAACAATATTCCTTTCAAGCGGTCTCACTTGGACCACCGCACTTGCGTTGGCGCATGGCCGATGTTTTGGCAGATTGTAGCGTCTCGGCCGGCCGCGATTTATCTACAGAAGAAATAACGCTAGGAGTCGATTCCTCATCCTGACCGTTGGGAGTAGTAAAGCATATGTTTCTGGGCAATCCCAACAATCCAAAAATAAAGGCAACATCCTCTTTCAGATAGCAGAACCGCCGTCAAGGAACGTGCCGACTCTGTGAACGCCATGAGGGCCATAAAGGTTACAGGCAGTACACCTAGCGCCATGGTCATCTGGCTGCACGATCCGCTGGAGTAGTTGATGATGAGGCCTGAGCGGCATCCTCTTTGGCATGTAGGGGGATGGAGCATTGAGCGGTGCAGAACTTTGCAACCATTACGTCCGCAACATTGCCTTACTTGGCTTCGCTCCATGCTATGCCTTAGCTTGCGGCAAAATTCGCAAAGTACAACTGAGGAGACGAACGTTACTGGTGAATCAGCGTCCAGGCGGACGAATTGCGCGCATTCATCGAGGTAGCTCATTTTGCTACTGTGCACGAACATTCTATGTTCTCAGTTGCTGGGCTCATTCGCCACAAAAGTCACCACGAGTGTAAAGAACATTGACAATGGTGCCCTTACGAGGCCGCGGGTCATTCTGACCTCCTAATTCTCGGTAAGGAAGCGCTAGGCCAACTAGGACTCTCTGACCGATAACGTCTTGAACATGCTATGTCAGGACAAAGGAACTGGGTTCTCTTTAATTCCCGAGAATTTGTGAGGCTCGGTTGAACCAATGCTATCGTATGGTAGTCGTGACACAATAAAGAGTGGCAGCTACGGTCGTCCTGGAATCCATCTGGGATGAACAACCCAGTTGTGAAAGTGCCATCAAACGGACCTTCATTGTGTCGACTAGCTTGAGTGATGAGCTGGCATCTTTCGGCTTGACTGGTATCCCCCTGGTAATAGAGGCAATAACTGACAGGTTGCCGGATCTACAATCCAGGATAATCCAGGATTCTCGACAGCCATGCTCCGGCTCCAGTTTCGTACAGTGGTCAATGGTTTCTCGTGGCTCGCCTCCGTACGCATCAATCAGGAAAGCCAAAGGGTTGGCGGAAACTGTAGTATATTGTGTGGCCCCGCTGGTGAAGCCACTAAAAAACTTCCAGCAATTCAAAGGTTGTTACTGAATTTCGTTATTTATCTTTAAGGAGTGTCCGTGCAGAGTTTGAGTAGTTACGGAAGATGTTGTGAAACAGAGGTTTCCTGTGGGTTTTCTGAAGGCATTGCTGGCCTATTCCTGGCCAACTAGAAATGGAGCAGGTCTAAGAGAGTCCCGAGGTCTCCTGTTTTAGCAGTAGCACAGCACTGAAGGTTAGCTTTCTCTCGATGGACTATGGCTATCATAAATTGATTCCAACAATCTGTTGGACCATGCAAAGTTACGTCCAACACCCCAAAAACAGATCGTCCAAACGGAGGTTTATCTACAAATGGGGTACTATAAACACAGTTGTAAAATAATAAAAATATACAAACCTCATATCGCGCAACTATACCGGCTTCTATACACAGGTTTAGGAACCGCTAATTCCTAACAGATACCTAGGTTCACACTGACTCAAGGTTACATGCTTACAAAATAGCGGAACCACGTGTTGACTTGGGCGGCATGTTGGATGGCAAGGCCAAACAACGCTTTACGTTCATATAAAAAACGAATATAGCGGTATGAGCGCAAAACCAAAATAGCAAAATGGGGAATTGCGTTGCGAAATCTAAAAGGGGAGAGGAATCGACAGGAGTGCCAATTTTCAAACATGCAGCTATGTCTTGTGGATCCATGCAGAGCTCTCCCTTAGACGTAGGGGGGATTAGTATAGTGGATGAAGAGCGGGAAAATTACCGGAACGTTCCCCCAGAAATGACAAAAACGCCGCTCAGGAATTCTGTTGAGCTTGTGATAACGTTTTTGGATATTATCAATTAGCTTTGTAAAATCTGGGCGGCTAAGGATCTCACAAGACGATTGCGTCTATCAGATCATACGTAGTTTGTATCCGGTAGATAATAGGAGCAGACGAACTGGGGCAGGAGATGACGTATTGAGAACTGTCAGGAACTGGTTCTGTGGGCTAATGGGCTATTAAGCATCGTGAATCACGTGAACGTACGTTCAGTAATTGCGCCATCTCCAGCAGCGGAAAGTGGTCAGTGGGGCAGCAGGGATTTGGGTACCGACGGTCAGTCAGTGTGAGTTGGCCGTATGGAGAGATAACGGCGCAGAAAATCAGTACGTTCTGGAGGCAAGGAATTGTATTTGGTTGACGGCGCAATGTGGCACATCGTGTCATGTAGCACATCCGACTGCGCGCTTGGGTTCGTTAAAATCAAACCTCACCGAAGGCTATCTGGCAGATTAGACATAGGTAATACAAATAATAGGGTCTTCCGGGTGCAGAGTTTGTGTCGTGAGGAACACTCTCGCCCGCCACCAAGGATCTCTAAGTTCCATCTCTCGTCGATCCGTTTTTCTGTCAGAGCGGGCGGTCAAAATAGGTAGGACTGAAAAGAACTTGCGAGAAACGATAGGTGGGCGAAAATGTTGACATCATTTGCATTATTATTATCAGTTACTGGAGAGTAGGCAGATCTCAAGCAGAAGCAAAGCAGTGGAAACGAGCTGCAAAGAAACGAACGGCGTTTTAGCCAATGGTGTAAGTAGCGTTTTTTTCAAACGTATTTTGAACACAATGAGAATGTCCCCTATTCACCTTTGCTTCACAGGAGAAATTCAACAGCTGGTGTCCGTGTAACACTCTCTGTCTATTATCAGGTTCGTCAGCAGTTACAGGTCTGACGGACACAGTGTTCT